GCTTAACACAACTAGTCACTTTTCATGCAGTAATGGAGCAGAGAGAGATAAATGCCAGTATTAAGTTAGCTTGAATTACAACTTAATATGAGAATTTATACCTCCAATGTGTGACTCGGGAATAATTCCTGAATAACTTGATTTTATCTTAGTCATTTCTTTATTATTGTAAATGTTTTCTTCAATATGAGCATGTAATTCATTTTTGGCAAATGTAATATAAATAAAGATCTACAGGTGGTTATGACAATAAAATGCTCGATCTCCACCTTGTGACCGTGAGGAAAATAAGTCCAAGGGCAATGCTGTCACAGCAAAGTCTTAAGAACAAGAAACTGGAAAGAATTAGAATCCTTAATGATGTCATTGAACTAATTAAATGACTTACACAGTGTATTATTTGTTTTGAACTTTTAACGGCAGTAATAAATTTCTTTACCCTTTAGATCACTTCTATTTGGTTTTTCTGTTAATTGGAAAAACGGAATGCATAATCACTGATAACTGCTTTTCTACTGAAGGTTTTATAGGGAACTCACTAAGAAACCCAGGGAAATTCAATGGCTGGAGGTTTTTTCACTCAGCAAACAATAAATTTACCATGGTACTAAAAAGTTAAGAATAGAAAGTAAATGACCATTAAGGGCCCAGAGTACACTAAACTTGAATAGAATCCTCTTTAGATAAAATAACATATTTGAAAAGAAAAAAATGATTTATTCTGATTGTAATCTTGACAAGATCTAGAATAACATTACAGGCAAATATCTGGGATATGTCTGCAAAGGCTTTTCTAGATTAAGTTGGCAGAAGTGGGAAGACCCAGCCTAACTGCCAAATGAAAAGGAGAAAGAGAGTTTAATGCAAGCACTCACCACTCAGCAATGTTTTCAAAACAATGATGGAGTTCTTCTTAAACCGTGAGCTAAAAGAAACATTTTTTTTTACTTGAGTCTTTCTTTGATGGGTATTTTGGTACCATAACAGGACAAGTAACTAATACACAAAATCAGTCCCAGAACTAAAGGCACTGCTGTGATAAAGCTGACAGTGTCGTTCCTAGGACTTCAATGGAACATGGTCTTAAGAATAACACATGTTGACCAATGTCTTGTAGAAGTGTGAGAGACACTCTAGGAAAAAAGGCAGAGGGCCTTTTACCTCAGGTTCATTTTGTTCCCTGGATTATTCTTGGTTGTGATTTTGTGCCTCCTGTAACAAACATATATATTTAATTATAAGACACATTTATTATTGTTGGAAGTCAGAACATAGCTATAGAACCCTGTCTGGTCAGTGTACCCTGAATTTGAATATGCTTTCTCCCTTGCTTTTGTGCTTTTCCTGTTATAATCTATAGTATGTGCCAGGCCATTGTGCGTAAACTGGTCTGTCTTGAGACAATTCTGGGAAAGGGCTGCTTGGTTAATATTTATTATATGCTTCCTGATATTTATTTACATATTTTCTGCTCATGTTTTTCTGAACTCAAAAAACCTTCCATTGATCATCACTTTGCTTGTTACACCTGTGTATAAGAGTAATCTGAAACTGAAATGAGGTTATCTGCAGCATTAGACTATAGCTTCATTCCTTCAGGTCCTCAGATCCCAGGTCCAACAGACAAGATCTGTATAGGTTGGTAAAAGTCAAGAGGGCATTAGAATTGGTTTGCAGGTGGAAAGGAAAGAGTTTGGTTTGAACTAGAAAAACCCATGCATACTGTAAGTGGAGTTTCCAGGAGCAATGTGGTGGGAGATTGGAAGAGAATGTTGTAAGGAACATGGACAATGTAAGCCCAGTTTCATAAGGGGACAAAGCCATCTGGAGTTAGGCGAGAAGTAACTCTTTCTGTATTCTGGCAAAGAATTAGACTTCATTCTGTCTCCATCTTAATAATTTGACTGAAGATGAACTAAAAAATAATAGATATTTCTTTGGCAGAGGAAATTTTAGGGCTGTAATATTGAGGCTGTGCCACCATTACTGTCCAGTATTCTTCAGAAACGAGTGTATGAGAGAGGATAAAGTGAATAATGTAAAGTTTATTAAGCAAAGTTGTATGAGTAAGATTAAAATTACATACAAAGAGGGTAAGGTTGACAGAGTATCTGTAATCATTAAAATAAAATTTCACTCTCCTAATTTTAAGATACATATTAATTGTATTTCTTAATCATACTTCTATGTTATTTTTTTAATTGCTTTAATTAACTATTCATTTCACTTTCCACATCAAATCACAGATAAAAAGTTTTAACTTTAATGATTTGTTTTATAGCCATATACCTCATAACAACATTTTGCTTAATGTTGAGCTGCATGTATGATACTGGTAACAAAAAATTCTAATGGAACTGAAAATTCCTGCTGCCTATTGCCAGAATTGCTATGCTCCTTAGCCTCCTTATTCCCCAGGGAAAAGTATGTGTGCTATCTGCCTGTTCCACAGCATCATTACACAGGACAACAGATCTGCAGCCCCATGATGCAGGACAATCAGACACAATAGGGAGTCAAGTCAAAGCAGGAACTCAATTTATTACTGTGAGCATCAGCATATATAGGTTAAGCGACATCATGTGATGTGGGGATACCTCCAGCCAATGAGAGACAGCCAAGCTCTCCTTCTGGCTGTAGGGGCATCTACTTAGTTTTTGCTGTCTCATCCTCACTCAGCTCCCCCAAACTTGAACCAGGCCTTTCTCTGTCCTACAGGCCTGGAGATACAGGTCCTGAGATAATTTTGGCACAACATCTCTCCCTTTTGTTTTATATCCCACCCCCTATTCTGAAGGTCACCAAGCCAGAATAGCCCACCAGGGAGAGAGTACAGATCAGGGCCACCCCTATCTGGAGTGTAGGCCTGTGTATCCTCAAATTGAAAGTTCATTTATGGGGTGAGATGTATTGAGTCCATCATAATGTACTAAAAGGGCCATGAGTTGTACTTGTTGAATCTTTTTTTAGATTGCTTGTTTCAGCCTTTGGAGAATGCACGGGCCAAAAAGACAAATCAATAAACAAATAGCCATCAGCCCAATTAGGGAACAGATAAGTGTGGTAAGCCATGGCAACCAATTATGCCAGGTCTCATAGGGGTCCTTGACTTAAATGAATCAATATCTTTTCTTAACTTATCTAGGGTTCTTATTACTATCCTGGAATGGTTTGCATAGAAGCAACATTCTTCCCCAAGTGCCCTTCAAATTCCTCCCTGTTCCATAAAAAGCAAGTTCAAGCCTCCCCTCTTTTGTAAAGTTACCCTTTCTAAGGAATCCAAAGACTTTTGTAAATAACATAATGTGGTATCTGTCTTTTCTAATGTTGCTGTCAATTGCAAGCAAATTATTCCCATTTCTTGTTGTAAAATCACCAGAGATGAGGTGCCCAGGGCAGTCCCAGTCACTTCTAACCCCATCAATGTGATGACAGCTAGGGCCATTAGGGACTCTCTATTATGCCTTCGGGCCGGGAATTATTCTTGCATGAGAGAAAGCACATGAGAGAAAATTAATGCAAGCAGGCAAGTATTGTTACACTGGATGATCAGTGGGTCAGACAGGCAGGGAGTAAACCCTGTCTCTTGGCAGACCCCAAAATACCCATGATCTTTTGGCATCCTCCATGAAGCTATAGACTCAACAGCCACATCACAAGTGAGGTTAAGAAGAGGGTGTCTGGTGTACGAGACACAAGTTGCATTTGACATTTACCAAAGGAGGATAGTCAGTCCCGACATCTTCCCAATTTCAGGGTTTTCCCATCTACAAATATCAGCTTTATCCAGTATTTCATAAGAGCCATTTACCCCAAAGGCTTCAAAGTAGGGGGTAGTGACTGTAAGCAAAGCCAACAGGCCTCAGTGGCTTCAGGGTAGGTAAGGTTTAAAGTCATAAAGGCCATATTAATGGTCTCCATCAAATCTCTAGGCGGCTTGGTGAAGAATACCTTAGGGGTAGATGATGTGGGGGGTTGAGGTATATAAAGTTGATGTTGGGGTATGTAAAGTTGAGGTATATACAGGCATGTACCCTGATGTAGGAGGTTCTTTTGTCTACGTGATGCTTTCATTGGTTGAATAAAGAAACTGCCTTGGCCTTTTGATAGGGCAACACTTAGGTGGGCAGAGTAGACAGAACAGAATGCTGGGAAGAAGGGCAGTGTGGCAGATGCCGTAAAGCTACTGCCTGAGACTGATGCTGGTTAGAGTCTTTCCCAGTAAGCCATGACCTTGTGGTGTCACACAGATTGGTAGAAATGGGTTAGATCAGGATGTGAGAGTTGGCCAAGAAGAGGCTAGATATAAAGGGTGAGGCAGTACTTTAATTAATATAATTTCTGTGTGGTTATTTCAGGTGTACGCTAGCGAGGCGGGATGAAACAAAAGGACTTGCTCTCCTCTTTACAACAGTTCCTCAGGGACATTGGCTTGAAAGCAGGCTCCAGCATCCAAAGAAAGTCCTCAAAGTATCTCCATATGAAGCATGAGGATAAGGACATGATCATATCCCTTTTAGTATAGCCTTAATCCCCACATACTTCCAGATAACCTGGATAGGTCTCTTTTTATCCCTGTGATCTGTAAACATTAATATCAGATGGTTACATCTGAATTGAGTACATCGTCCATATAGGGGGTTCCAGGATAGGGGTACCTAGGAGATCCTTGAGATCACTATATCTCCATGTTGTTTTAGCCAATGTCCAGTCCCAGTCTGCTCACATCCCCAGGAAGAGAAATAGTAATCAGCAGCCCCCTCCCCCCACAGTTTCTAATAGTGGAGGCAGCCCATTTGCTTCTTGAGCATACATAAAATGGTGTCTGCAGGAGGGCATGTCTCCTAAGAACATGAGAACAGCCAGGTTCATTAGGGTAAGATGCCTAGGATAGGATGCACCCCCCAAAGCCTCCATATTTAGGTCTCCCTTCAATCCCCAGAATCCAGTATCCCACATCCAAGCTACTACATGCCAAATCGCAGAGGTCAAATGTCAGGTCAGGGCACTATGTCTAGGGTGTTGTCATCTGAGAAGTCTGGTTTAGGATCCCTCCAGTGCCAGTGCTCAACAGGATTCACATCATCTTCTGTGGTTGGTGGGGGCTTGCTGCTTGGACCTTGATCCCTGAGAGAAGAGTTAATATAATTAGCACCAGGAGAGCCATCTGAAATAGTAAAACAGGCAACACTTTCCTCAAGGGTCAATCTCCCTTGGGCAGTGGTGATTTTCTTTTCTTGTGTTTGAATTTAAGGGTTGTCCACCATAATCTATTTCTTTTTTTTTTTTGGTCATCTTGGTCTTCCCCATTGTCCTGGGTGGGGGGTGGAGAAACCTTAAGTTATGAGTGGGTAGCCATATAGGCGTTTCCCCTCTGTTTGGAAAGACACAACCATATCCTCAGTCCTGTGTCAACAAGGAATCTGGGCCCCTCCTTTGGTTAGTGAGAGAATCATTCCACCTAACCTTTAGGCAGGGCCTCATTGGTAGGGATCCCCAATGTTTCTGGAATCTATTTTGTTCATCTGATTTTTGAAAATTTAAAATATTGATGGTTAATAATGCCTTTTACAGTTATAAATGGGGAGAGACTTTTCCCCCTTTTTGTTTTATAAGAACCTCTTTGAGTTATTGCTGATGTCTTTTGACAATCGCTTGACCCTGAGGGTTTTATGGGAACCCAGTGTTATGGGATATATTCCAACTCTCAAATAATTCTTTTAATGTTTTACTTATGAAACAGGGGCCATTGTCAGTCTTGACTTGTTGTGGTAGTCCCAAGGTAGCAAAAAATTTTAAGAAATAGCTTTTGGCATGGGTTGCCTATTCTCATAGGTGAGTGGTAGCACAGCATTCCTTAAAGTGTGTGTTTATGGTCACAAACATATATTTTAATTTGCCAAATGGTGGGTAATGTGTTACATCTGTTTGCCAGATGATATTGGGTCCTAACCCTCTCAGATTAACCCCTGGCCTTTATAAAGGGAGGGGTGCAGAGAAACTCTTGATAAGTCTTACACATGTGAATAATTCTCTTTAATTCTGTTGCAGGGATCTGGGAGTATAGTTATCTGAGTCCTCTCCAGTTGACATGGGTTAAGTCATGCATTTGGGTAGCATTTTGTATGGGCAGAATTGAGACCTCTATGAGACAGGCTCCTGAAGCTGCAGTATCTGCAGCAGCATTCTCTTGGGGAATGAGGCCAAGGAGGTTTTTGTGTTCTCTGAGATGTTGAATATAAATGGGTTATTTTCCTATCTTTTAAGAGCAATCCAAGTTGTATCATCAAGTCAGAAATACGATTAGCATTTAATCTGATATAGCCATAGGTTAAGTGTGGCAGTAGGTTCACCACATAAGAGCTGAATAGAGGTTTCAGGGTTCTGCAATCTCTTGTAGGGCAATACACATGGCCATCATTTCCTTATATTGAGCAGACCCCCCCCCACAAGGGAGAATTTTGGTAATCTTTGTCTTGGTTCCCCATGCAGGGAAAACTATAAAGGCTGCCCCATTCTTCCCACCATCTGTGCAAACAGTAAAGTCTTGGGGCAGGGGCCTAAAAGAAAAGAATAAGGGGACACTCCAGTGTAGTTTTTTGATATAACTCCACTAACCAGGGCTCCCCAAAGAGAGTATCCAGGGTCCCCAGAAATCCCTCCAGTGCAAGGCTCAGTCAAGAACAATATCCTTAATTTTGAATAAAATTATTAACTTAGAGGGATCTTTTTCATAATGTCAGAGAGACATGTCCCTGATATTTATAATCATATCAGCTATTTGATCAACTAGAGAGTACACTCTGTGAGTGACCCCCAGGGTGGTGCATACCATTCTAGTGGTTGTGACTGCTGAACAACGGCAGCCAGCTTGGTCTTTTTCCCTAATAATATCCAGCCTTTGGAATGTAAGCATTATATCTTGCCAAAGAAGCCTGAGGAAGCTCGTTGATGGATTCAGTGAGTTCCTGGCGACCCTCAGGGGGTAAGAAAATGATCTAATAAAGTTGACTCCCTAAAAGGAGATTATATAACACACCTAGTTTCCCAGTCTCTACAGGCAACCAGGGCTTAACCCAGTTCATTTTTTTCCAGTATCTTTTGTAACCCCAATAAAGTGAGAGGCTTGGGCCGGATTAATTTGTGTCCATTCATTTTGGCTTGAGTGAGTGTTAATTTGGATCCCAATATATGAAATGGGGATAACTTTTGTATTTTGTTTGGAGCTATTTTAAAGCCATGTTATTGGAGGATATCAACAATAGTGGTTGCCCATAGAGCTAGCCCTGATTCCTCCAAATACACAACCCAATGATTAGATCATCCACATAAACATATAGGAGGTTATTATCTTTGTCAAAATAAGGATAGAGAATACTAAACAAATATTGTTGGCAAAGACCAGACTATTAGCCATCTCCTGTGGTATCTCTCGTCAGGTCAAGAGGAGTTAACTATAGGAATGGAAATGGCTAACTTTTCATAATCCTCCTCTTGAAGAGGAATTGAGAAGAAGCAATCTTTTAGATCAATTTTAGTGAGGTGAAACTTGGAGGGTATTTTTAGGACCCAAGGTAAGCCCCTTAAAGGGGCCCCTACTAGCTCCATATTGGCATTGATTGCTCATAGGTCCTGTAACATTCTTCAGGTCCCATTAGGCTTACATATCACAAACACAGGACTGTTCCAGGGGCTCGTTGAGGGCCTTATCCTTCTTTCTTTAAGCAGATTTCTACTGATTTCCTTGAGCATCTTATGTTTAAGTTCAGGTAATGGCCACTGCTCCACCCATACCAGTTTACCTGGTGTCCACTTAATGGGGGGACCCTGGGGGCAGTAGCCTCTACTTTTGGGGTGAATCCAGGTGTCAGGGGTCTGCCTGATGACACCTTGCTCAGTTTTATCATCGTAAAAGGCTAGGTGGTCAGTGGTAATAAAGGCATCCATTTGTCCTAACAAATCATTTCCTAGGAGATTTGCAGACAACTCTGGAAGGATAAGAGGCCTGAACTTTCCTTTTTCCCTGTCCAGCCCCACCCAAGTGTATATTAATTTTCTTCTGTCAAGATGGAGCCCCTTTTTGTCCTCTTCCCCTCTCCTAATTTATCCTTTCCAGGGTGGCTTGGGGCATAAGGATGTGGCCACTCTCATTATAGACAATATCTCATTTCTTTTGTTGTATTTGTCTCTGCCTGCCTTATTCCTTCTCCCTGGGATCTCTCTTCAGTAAATTGTGCCTATTTTTATTCTTCCCCATCATCTGTCTCCTTTTCTTCCATTCTTTTGGTTAATTGTTTGTTTTTCCCTTTCTCTGGCCAGATTCTCCACCTGGTTCCATGTGTCCCATGAGAAAAGATTCCCAGTGAGTACCCAGGGGACCAGGGTAATTGTAGTCTGACAATTCCAGGTCTTGGGAGACAAGCATATATCTCAATGCCTTAAGCACTCCATCATTTTCATGTGAAGTTGCATTACCCATCGTGTAGTACCACTCACCTTGACGACCACTTTTCCCTGGGACGAGTTGCCCCACATTCTGGCACCAATTGCTAGGCCTTCTTCGCCTCCTTATTCCCCAGAGAAAGGTGAATGTGCTATCCATCCATTCCACAGTCCTACAACTCAGGACAATAAGACATGATAGGGAGTCAAATCAAAGCAGAAACTCAGTTTATTACTGAGAACATCAGCTTATATAGGTTAAGTGACATCATGTGATGTGGGGGTACCTCTTGCCAATGAGATACATCCAAGCTCTCTCTCTGACTGGAGGGGCATTTACCTAGCTTTTGCTGTCTCATCCTCACTCAGCTCCCTTAAACTCAAGTCAAGCTTTTCTCTGCCTTAAGGACCTCTATGTACGGGTCCTGAGATAATTTTGGCCCAACACAGAATGTCTTAACAAAGTGCATTACTGACACATTTCTGGACATTTGTGTTGATACTAGTATATGTCCAATTTATGTCCAATTGTATAAAATGTAACCTATATAATTTATTTACACTTCATAATACTATAAGATGGTGACAATTATGTTACTGCTTTACTTGTATATTACAACACCTTATAACCTTTTTAATACTTAGAGAACACTCCTGCTTACAGAAAATGTGTACAGTATTTCTGCAAGCATTTCAATTGTCCTAAATTAGTGTATCTTTTGACTGTATTATATTATCTCTTGTGATTTATTTACCTACATATTGTTTTATTCACTGTGATCCAAGGAACAATTCTCTCTCTCTATTTCTCTCTCTCTCTCTCTCTCTCTCTCTCTCTCTCTCTCTCTCTCTCTCTCTCTCTCTCTTTCTCTCTCTCTCTCTGCCCCTCTGTCTGTATGTGTATGTAGAAATTATATATTATCAGTGTGAATTATGCTATACCATTTATGTTTGTATAAGTACACTCTATCAAGCTTACACAATGATAAATTTGGATGATAATTTTTCTTAGCATATTTTTGTTATTAACTAATTCAGGACTGTATAAACAATATGGATATACTCTAGAACTGCTCATGGAGATTTAGATATGTTACATTATAATTATAAGCCTATTTTTCAAAGACCCCTTAGCGTACATGCATAGTAACATTTCTCTACATCTTTTCTAAACTGAAAAGCAGAGAATATCATAAGCAACAACAAAACAGTGATTCATACTGGAGTATTTAATAGATATGACCAAAAGAAATTGCAAAAGAAATTAGAATCTGAATTTAGTCACAGAACAATCTTTGGTCTTTTTAACCAGACAACTAAAATTCATCTCTTTCCAGAAGAGAAAAAAAAAGACAATATAAAAAAACATTGAAATTACAACCATTAAAAATATAGTAGGTTATTTGTGGAGTGCCAAAAAATGTGAGCCTATTACTATCTTTATCTGAATGTCAGAGAGTTTCAGCTTGCTCAAAGTTGTTGCCATTCCATCCTGACCGAAGGTCAGAGTTCGAACTTACTTCTATTCTTCCAGGTTATTATCTGTTTCTACCTCAGACAAAGGTACCACCTAGATTTATATAAGAGAGTTCTGTTCTTTCAAGGTTATTGTCAATGGTTGTGACTAATATTCAGCCTTTGTATTTCAGGTATTGAGAAGCAGATCTGTTTCTACCTCAAACAAAAGTCTATGGATACAGCTAAGTTTCTACTCTCTTAGGGAGA